AATTCATCCGATAGTGCCATGATTTAGTGCACAATTAGTGCAATCCGAATATCTCATCGTCAGATTTAGTATTCGTAGTACCCCAATTTTGTGCTAAGAGCTCCAGGGGGTACAATCATCACAGGCAGGGGCACGTTATTATCCTGCTTTCCCACATTTTTAAATTTGGTGGCGTTTCTTTGGAATACCCACTGTTCTACACGGGTCGTAGAAAACGTAGGTCGTATAAAAAGTAGGTTGTAGAAAATGTAGGTCGTTCAGACGTAGGTCGGACAAATGGTTCTAGGTCGGTTTGGAATCACCAGGTCGTACAAACGATATAGACCGAAGTGCCCCTCTGCTTTCCCCTCCCTTCCCTCAGGCTGCGCAGCCCCTGCTGCCGCCCCCGCGCTCCCACTCACTGATAAGGGCTGGGATTGGCAGCAAGGACCGCCACTGGTCGAGCGCACTGCCCGCCGTGCGCGCCCGTGACACGGCAGGACCATAAGGAGCGCTGGTCATGCTCTCGCAGCACAATCTCGGCGTGCGATCAAGTGTTGCCTTGCCGTTCGGTAGCGGCGGCGATCATGACACAAGTGACGTATTCCATGGGCGCGAATTTTCCCTACTTGAAACGCGCGCATTTTCATTTCGCGCCCAAGTAAAAGTGCGAAATGAAGATAGCACGCACTTGACACGCAACAATGTCGTGCTGGTTATGCAAAACGATCTCCTGGCAGGCGGCAGAATTCCGGTATGCGTTCTGCCGCGCAGCGTCGCCACGGCCGCCACCGGTTCTGAGCCTCTCGTTCGCCGTCGTCGCCGGCGCGCCCGTTCAATGCAGTTGGTCGCGCCTGCTGCACTTGACTTTGACTCTGAGGGCGGCGCGCCAGGACGCCGCTCGGGCCCGGCGGCCAGGAGGACAGCAGGACAGCAGGCCTTGGGGGGCCTCTCGCCGCCACGAGTCCCCGCCGTCACCTCAGCTCGCTGGCCGGCCCGGCTCGTTTGCGTAATCACCTTCCGAGATAAAGGAAGTGCGTTCTGCACGCTGATTGTGGCGGGATTAATTACCCTCGAGGCCTAGGTCCTAGGTCCCCGCTGCGGCCCTGCGCGGCCCCCGGGCCCCGGCCCCCGGGCCCGTGTGGGAACCCGTGCGGCATATGCAGTGCCGCCAACTGGGTGGCCACAGCGTTCCCACGAATACACCCCGCGGGTGACGCGAGCTTGCATCTACGACCTGCCTGGTAGGCAATCCCTTCGGCACGGGTGAACAAACGTCGCACATGCAGCACACCCCTCCGGACATGGGCACTTTGCCTACCATCAGCTGGCAACACTCGAGCCTCAGGTGCGAGCAACTGTGTCACGGGTAGCCGCCGCCGCCAGGCTCGCGCCACGTGATCACAGTCATCATGAATTGGAGTGCCGCCGTTGGCGCTCTTTTTGGTTACCAATTCACAGCTCGATTCACAGCTCCGTCCGGCCCGCGCGCGCGCAGTGTTTGTTTCTTTCTTTTTTTTCGGCAGGTCTTAAAAATGATTATTGGGGTAACCCCACGGGCCCAGGGTCGGCGCGAATTAAAACCACTCAGTGGCAGTGCAAATTACATCACGTGGAGGCGGTTTTTTCGGCCACCAGAGCTGGTGGCCGCGGTCCGCGCGCGGCGGGCCGGCCCGGCCGGAGCCGGGAGACTTCAGAGTGCAGACACGACCCGACATCCGGCCGGGGAATCCGTCTCCTGAACCAGGTAAACTTACTTATCCGAGCGCATAATGTTCGGGCTGACGGACTGCGTGGGCATGCAAGCCCTCATAACGCCTGATGGGTAGGCAACATGTGGGCAGCAGTGCATGCGTGTACAGCGGGGTGGCCTACCCCGAGTCCCGCAGGCGCCGAGCCCCCTCAGTTTGCCGATTGGAATCTTGAGGTAAAAACGTACGCACTTTCGCGACGATGCCATGTCCGCATCTCGCGACCGCGCATCCGTACCACCCGAGTCTTAATTGAAACGTCTTCGGTGGGCGAGGAGCTCGCGAACACGGCGCGGCTCGGCGCGACCCAATTCAGTTAAATTGGCTAAATTGACGCGACTGCCACGGTAGCGCGGCGATGCCAAAAACAGATTTCTAGACTGTCAAATACGGTTATTACATTACTTCGATGAGACTTCCTGCTCAGGGTGTAGAAGTACGGCCGAGGCAATTTCATTCTGAAGAAACGAGGAGGAACGATATTCTAATGACCTTTATTTGTGAGTCATGATTTTTCAACATCAGGCACTACAACTACGACGCTACTAGGCTCTTCAGGCACTTCAGCCCTCTTGCCACCCCCAATTGGCGGGTCATCTCACGGCGCCGCTAAATCTCGCCGTCCTTGTCACACGGTCCGGGCTTCTACTGGCCTGCTTAAGAGGGAGAGGGAGAGAGAGAGGGAGCGGGAGGAGGGAGAGGGAGAGGGAGAG